GTTTAAGTGGATTGTAATTGAATGTTCTTACAACGGTGGCATAAACGTCAGCAGATAGAAATGTATGTACACATACATGAAACAATTCAATGAGGCATCACATGTATTGAATTTATTTGAAAGCATAATTTGGGACTATTTTGTATTGACAATATTATTATGAAATATTTCAGTGAATACGCTCAGCGATAATGACTACTTGAACTCCGGTATGGTACATCTTTCGAAATCCAGTGTAATTGAATTGGGACATGTGTGATGGGAGACAGCTTTAACGTGTGCATTAACTATAATGAACATTGGAAAAATGTGACAAAAGTAAGATGGTGTGAAATACAAAAAAAATTGTTGGCGGCGACGTATTTCGGAAAAGATTCTCTCATCCTTCTAAGGCAGTTTCCAAACCTGAGTATAAAGTGACATGCAGTAAAGAAATTTCCGCGTTAATAAGATTCTTGCGCTCAACCTCAATTCAAACTATTTGCTTGATGCAACAAGAGGTGAACCGTTCTTGCATCAATAGTGACGTGTTCAGGGAGAACATAAACGCTTCTGTTGACAAAGTTTAACGCATTTCTCATGTTCGCCTATGAATTTCGACGTTTAGCAGATAGTTTCAAGAAATGCGATGATATCATTCTGACTTGTAGATTCCTCCTAATGTTGACTGAATCAAATTAGTGAAATTCGTGCAAGTTCGAACACAAGATTGCCCTCTTATTCAAATCACTTTCCGAAAATCAAGTCAATCATTCAAGGCTCGTTATCTGTGTGTGCAAAGAGATTGCCGAAAACGAGAAAGGCCTTCGACAAATACTGCTAGAAATATTTGTTAACTGCAGGTGAATATCTGCTGTCTACTAGACAGTTTCTATCACAATCGACAGGTTAACAGAGAGAATGCCAGTGTGAATGCGCTGTGTGCTGTCCATTGAAAGTGTTTGGCATATGAAATCCTATGACGGATTGACTATTGGTATAAAGCGGACATTATTCAGTGTGAAAATCCGTCCAGTGAAGCCGTCTATCGGCAGATCCCGTTCAGTCATAGAAAGACAAGTGCAAAAGGATGAAATAAAAATTATGAATTGTGCAAAATTGTTATTTATTAACTGGATGTGAACAGATAAGAAAAATTTTGACATTACAGAAACTTAAGTTACATATTTAAAGTGAAATAGGAAATGTATCCCAACAGTTGATGGGTGGAGAAAAAAATTGATAGGTGCTCAATCGGTATTAGGTAAAAGACTGATTGAACAATTCTCGCAAACTGAGAAGGAACAAAACCGCATCCTAAACAGGCACTGAAAAATAAAAATAACAGATGCAGCTAAGGCCCGAAAAATAACAACTAAAATACATGTAGAATAGAAGCCATGATGGAAAAGAAATCAATTAAGAGAATCTAAAAATAAATAAAATAACGAAACGTTAAGGAAATCAAATGAACATTGACTGCTAGACACTTCAAACAATCTCACACCAATGTGAAACACACAGAGCAGTCTATGTTTCTTGCTCGTGCGTCTGCGATACACACGGACTGTCTTCCTTTCACATGGCCCGCATATTCACCTGAATACACAAAACTCATATACTCATATTCTACATGGCATGTGAACCTGTGTGTTATCCATGAAGCTCACACATCCTTCGAGTCTAATTTTCCGCCTTACGTCACTAGACTGCTCCACACACGCGCATCTCACTTTCTCCTCACACATATTGTCTAACTAACTACCACAGGGCATATTTTACGAAAGGCATTCAGCATTTCCGCTCACTGATATCACTCATTTGTCTTCAGACTATAGGTGGAAGTGAAAGTGGGAAAGTATTCGTCAGTCCGGAATTGAGAAAAGTGCCTCCGGGCATATAATTGTTACAAAATAGACGCATGACGATTAACACGTCCACTGTTGATTAAAAATTCCGAGGAAAGTATGGAAAACATAAATGAAGACAGACAGCACAAATCAACAACATGAGGAACCTTGACAAGAATGTTTGAGCTTACTCCAATAATTCAAATCATCAACGAAATTATCTGGAAAATGGAAAGAAGCAAAAGTACGAATCGATTTAAAAATATCGAGGACGTGACTATTGAGTGGAGAGGCTCAGGACAATTTTTGCAGAAAATAGAAATGCACACAAAGAAATTAGTAGCCACAGCTGATAAGCAGATTCAGAGAGTGCGATTGCCACAAAGATATGGAAATTTTGAGTACTGCAAAACACAGAAAGCCAGAAAAGCTCCTATCAAAACTGAAACAAGAATCTCATGTTGTACACTATTGCAAACGGCTCAAAAGTACTTTACACAAGCCATTCATATAACCCCATCGAATTCAGCCTAACTGCACGAATCCAAACACACGTCGAATAGAGTAGGAAATGTATACCGAGGCGGTTCTACATAGTAGGAATATAATTCAAGCAGTGTCATTCAGTATCTGAAAAGTCTTACTCGTTGTTGTTTCTTCTTCAACGTGTTCGGTTGTTTTGGGTGTGGTGACTGGTTCCCCTGTGAGAAGAGAAGTAGAACAGACGTTTCATCAGTTTTCACACCACTGACGTGATAAACTTCAAAATTGCACTTCGCACATCATCAAAATAATCTGACTGGACGTGAATTAGAGGGACAAGGGTGTTGTCTCACGTCAGGTCGAATATACGTTCATGTAATCTCAAAACTCACCTTCAGTTGTCGCTTGTTCTTCTGTAATATTTTTCATCAATGAAATGAAAGAGATTGAAAATAAACAGTATCACAAATAGCACCAGAGTCGGAGTATGACTTCCACAGTGACTGACAGATTGGTCACAGTCTCTTGTTCCGATGTGGAAGACACAAAACCGTCAATGTTTCCCAATGAGTGGGTGACGAAATCGACATATGTTCAAGGGTGAAGCGTGAATATTCAGCATGTGTGACAATGGTATTTCGATGTGAGTGGGCACGTGGAAGGAGACGTGTTGACATTGGTGTCAGGAATGTGTGAAAAGCAGTGACAGGCACTCAGTGACTGTCCATACTTTCGAGGAGATAGAGACTGTCGCCTGTGAAAGAAGAGAACTGAAACAAGCATCTCATGTTGTACACTATTGCAAACGGCTCAAAAGTCCTTTACACAAGCCATTCATATAACCCCATCGAATTCAGCCTAACTGCACGAATCCAAACACACGTCGAATGGAGCAGGAAATGTATACCGAGGCGGTTCTACATAGTAGGAATATAATTCAAGCAGTGTCATTCAGTATCTGAAAAGTCTTACTCGTTGTTGTTTCTTCTTCAACGTGTTCGGTTGTTTTGGGTGTGGTGACTGGTTCCCCTGTGAGAAGAGAAGTAGAACAGACGTTTCATCAGTTTTCACACCACTGACGTGATAAACTTCAAAATTGCACTTCGCACATCATCAAAATAATCTGACTGGACGTGAATTAGAGGGACAAGGGTGTTGTCTCACGTCAGGTCGAATATACGTTCATGTAATCTCAAAACTCACCTTCAGTTGTCGCTTGTTCTTCTGTAATATTTTTCATCAATGAAATGAAAGAGATTGAAAATAAACAGTATCACAAATAGCACCAGAGTCGGAGTATGACTTCCACAGTGACTGACAGATTGGTCACAGTCTCTTGTTCCGATGTGGAAGACACAAAACCGTCAATGTTTCCCAATGAGTGGGTGACGAAATCGACATATGTTCAAGGGTGAAGCGTGAATATTCAGCATGTGTGACAATGGCATTTCGATGTGAGTGGGCACGTGGAAGGAGACGTGTTGACATTGGTGTCAGGAATGTGCGAAAAGCAGTGACAGGCACTCAGTGACTGTCCATACTTTCGAGGAGATAGAGACTGTCGCCTGTGAAAGAAGAGAACTGAAACAAGCATCTCATGTTGTACACTATTGCAAACGGCTCAAAAGTCCTTTACACAAGCCATTCATATAACCCCATCGAATTCAGCCTAACTGCACGAATCCAAACACACGTCGAATGGAGCAGGAAATGTATACCGAGGCGGTTCTACATAGTAGGAATATAATTCAAGCAGTGTCATTCAGTATCTGAAAAGTCTTACTCGTTGTTGTTTCTTCTTCAACGTGTTCGGTTGTTTTGGGTGTGGTGACTGGTTCCCCTGTGAGAAGAGAAGTAGAACAGACGTTTCATCAGTTTTCACACCACTGACGTGATAAACTTCAAAATTGCACTTCGCACATCATCAAAATAATCTGACTGGACGTGAATTAGAGGGACAAGGGTGTTGTCTCACGTCAGGTCGAATATACGTTCATGTAATCTCAAAACTCACCTTCAGTTGTCGCTTGTTCTTCTGTAATATTTTTCATCAATGAAATGAAAGAGATTGAAAATAAACAGTATCACAAATAGCACCAGAGTCGGAGTATGACTTCCACAGTGACTGACAGCTTTGCCACAATCTCATCTAGCTGTGTGTTGCACACGAATCAGTCTATGTTTCATGCTTTGGCTTCTGCGATACACTCGGTCTCTTTTCTTTTCAAATGAGAGGAATGTTCATCTGAATTCTCATATCTCATAAACACACATTCTTCTTTGCATATTAGCCTGTATTTTATCCATGAGGCTCACACATCCTTCGAGTTATATTTTCCTCCTCCCGTCACTAGCCTGCTCCACACACGCGCATCTCACTTTCTCCTCACACATATTGTCTAACTAACTATCACAGGTCAGATTTCATGAAAAGCGTTAAGCATTCCCTCTCACTGATATCACTCAATTGTCTTCAGACTATAGGTGAAAGTTAAAGTGGAAAAGATTTTTACTTCTCACCTAGAATAAAAGAATCGAATATATAGATATTTTTGACCCCTGAAAATAAGAAAAACCGATCGTTGCCTGCTAACATACACTATTCACAATATTCTTTATAAAACTTTAACATGCAGAATTCACAACACAAACTCATGATGGCGATAGATATCAGATTGTTAGACTCACCATAGATCTCCTCTTCGTCGTCGAACTTCACCACTGGATGAAAACAAGGGTATGTGTGAATCAGTTAGAAACTATGCAGGACATGATTTTTGAGTGGAGCAGACTGAGCAATGGAATTCTGCTTTCTGCTCATACAGAGTGCATCTGAATTAAAATACACTTTGTATTTACTAGGCTGTTTTTTGGAAATTGACAAATTTTTCGTTTAGTTTGCATATTTACTGCGACATAACCTCCATTTATATGATATTCTGCAAAATAGAGTGTGTTTGTGCGCATTAATTTTTCATTTTAATCTTTATCGTTCACCACTCTAGCTGAAAATATGACTTTATTAAATGTGAAGACGATTTGAATTATTAATGACCATATATCTACTCCCAGTCTAACAGACCAGTTTTATTCCTCTGGTAAGACGTTTTCAGCAACACATCATTCGCTGCGATGAATGTCACTACCAATCTGCTCAACAAGGCTTCATATTATCTCTTTTATTTCAAACTACACCAGATGATATAAGGGCTAAAATCCATGAACATGAACAGTGACATGTGTGCACTCAATCACATCTTCTTCACCTATTTTGTGTGTTATATTTTAATGTCGAGGAGGTTAAATTAAACGTTCTCGATTGCATTACGACCTCTTCTGCATAATTACCCTATGAAATATCAGTATCTCTCATCAACGTATATACGTATGTGTCTGTGTATATGACTGTGTGTATTCATGAGGTGTCGATCATTCAGTGGAATATTATGAGTTTGTCTTCAAGTGTTTCCATCTACGTGTTCCTAATGTCTACAGAGACTGCTGTTGTCATAATCAACCAATTTCATAGGATAAGTCAGAAACCCATGTGTGCAATCTCGAATTTCACAGCCCAATATATCTTATGTAAATCAGCCTAACTTTAGCATCATTTTTATCTTGGAAAGTGATAAATAAATTTAAATGTGGTGCGCCAATGGGACAGAACTGCTTTAAAATATGTCAAATCCTACTTGAAACAATAATAACCACATCAAATTGTACTCACCTGCTTCGCTTGGCTCGCTCAATATCGTGAACGTTTGAATAATAAACAACAGTACACATAAGATATTCTGCGCCATCTTCCTTCCAGTATTTCCATAACAAATTGCAAACTGGTATTTATATACGCCTTCCACCAATAGATTTCTGGTAATCCGCTCTTGCCACGTATAAGACTATCAAGATTTTTTAAAATACTCTCAAAATATCACTTTATTTCTATGTAAAAGAATGTGGCGTGATTATAATTTTCATTATAGCCATAAATAGTTTTGTTTTCTTCTTCATTTATAAGGTCACCGGAATCAAAGAGAACTCGCTTAACAAAGAATAAGTTAGGTGATTCAGATCAGCGCACATTAGAAACGGTACAAAATTTTCAAAGGACATACGCAATATTTCCAATGATTTGCACACATCAAAATGTCATTTCTAACATGAAAGTGCTGATGCGTATGCATTACTGACGAATGCTGGGATAGTAATACTTGAGGGGAAATCAAACATTTTGAAGAATCGATTCGTTAAGAAATGACAATGAATTTTGAAACAAAAGTGAATCACCGAAATCATTTTGAGACTTCAGAGACTTCGATCTATTTATTCGACATAAAGCAATCTCCACGAGATGAAGCATAAACACTAACTGCTAATCCCAGCGATGGTTATCATGACTAAAACGTTATACTACCGATTATATCAACTGTGAATGCAGTAGTTATAGAGTTTAAAGGCATGGGAAAGCTCCAGATTTTGCCTACAAAGTTATACATGCAAACATAGCTAAAAGGCTCAAGCCATGTTTAGCTTTGAATTGCCAATAAGTTACTGAGACCTGATACGGAGTGAATAATTGTGTGTCTAACTACGGTGGCGAAAATGAATTTCGGTCAAGAGAACAAAGATATTAGGTGTTCCTATGCGAGCAAAATATTTGAGAGCAGACGCGTAGATCAGGGAAGAGTCTCTTCCTGGCGGTGAATTCATTTTCATAACTGTACAATCGCAGATATATATGGTTGTTTAGTATGTGTGTTTACATTAAATTTGTCAGACGAAAATGCAATTAGTATTTTCACATGAATTGGATGTTGATATAAGGGGATAGTAACAAAAGTGATCAGCTGTCACAAACGATTCTTAAATAAGAGTTACGTGATAACGTGAATATTTTGATGAAAGAATTGTTCTCTAGGTGTAAATGGAAAGAAAATAACATACGGAATTACGCAAAGGTCTTAAGTGGTTAAAACGATAAGCATACAAACAAAGGTTAAGTAAAATCTGAGGAGTTGCTACCATGTGAGTAGAGGTGGTTGAATAATTTCCTTCTGTGCGCTGATTTGATAAGATGTGGCACTTTTGTTTTGTTTTGTTGTTACCGGTACCAAAGTGGTATTTCAATGAGGCGTTTGAGAAGTATTAATGCACATTGTGTGTGTGTATGTGTGAAATATCCACGATCGTGTTCTCTGCTTTTCGTTATTTTATTCATTTTATTTCAATTCTTCTCATTTTATCACTGCAGAAGTGCCTTGAATGGTTCACATTTCAGTTGGAAATACACAAATATTTTGCAATATGTAAATCACACTAAACTGTCGAAATTGTGAACAATACTACTGAAGGAAGATCTAGGTAGTTTAGTAGTTTTACGTCGCTTGTGCAATATGGAGACACTTACGGGTAAGTCACGGTTAACAGTGAAATAACAATGTGCAGTGGTGTTACGAATATATTTACCAATCCTCAAAAAGTCATGAATAGCAAAGTGTACTGTTTTTTTATTCAAACGTTTGTAAAGACCTCCAGTAGATTTATGCAAATTTCCTCTGCCTGTAATCATCACTCAAAGCTTCATTTTCGAATCATAGTAAGAAGATAGGTCAAGGTTGACTAGAAAATCTTTGCTTTGATGCTGTTGTTCAAAGGAGTCAGATGGTTAAATCGATTTCAAACGCAGACTAGCAGGAGTGAATTTGAGTAATGCTAAACTGAATACAAATCGATTTGCAATACATTCATTCGTATACATTTATGAGTTACACACTGATATCATTCACTGATTGTCTTTTGAAATAAGATAAATGACTCTCAACATGCGAGAAGATATGTCATTTATGCTCTATATATTTATTGATAATTGATATGATTATGAACAATAATAAATTGTGTTCGAAACGTCACCCAGTAAATAATACTCTTTCACTGTGTGATACATCTAATAAACAAACTAATATTGAAGTATATATATATTCATATAATCAGCTCTTACATTTCTAATGGACATATTCAGTTAACCTAATTTTTGTGAGCAGATTGTAGCTCAAAGGACTTCAATGAGCTCATTCGGCAAAACATTGAATTCTGTGAAACTAAACCTACCCTGACTTTCCTCAATCAATGAAAAGAGATGATTCAGAGCGGTACAATATTCTCACAAAAGGAAATCTTGTGAAAAGTGCATACGGTTCAGCGCTTTCATCTTAGAAATGACATTCGCCTATGTGTGCAAATCATCGCCAATATTCCATATAGCGTGCGAAAATTTTGTACCGTTTCTAATGTGCGCTGATCTGAATCACCTAACTTATTCTTTGTTAAGCGAGTTTTCTTTGATTCCGGTGACCTTATAAATGAAGAAGAAAACAAAACTATTTATGGCTATAATGAAAATTATAATCACGCCACATTCTTTCACATAGAAATAAAGTGATACTTTGAGAGTATTTTCAGAAATCTTGATAGTCTTACACATGGCAAGCGTAAATTAGCTGAAGTGTTTTGGTGAATTAACTAAATGATTACTTGTTTATAGTTTCTCAAACAGTTATTGTAACAATCATGACGAAGAATACTTTATGTGTACTGTTGTTTATTATTCAAGCGTTCACGATATTGAGCGAGCCAAGCGAAGCAGGTAAGTACAATTTGATGTGGTTATTATTGTTTCAAGTAGGATTTGACATATTTTAAAGCAGTTCTGTCCCATTGGCGCACCACATTTAAATTTATTTATCACTTTCCAAGATAAAAATGATGCTAAAGTTAGGCTGATTTACATAAGTTATATTGGGCTGTGTAATTCGAGAATGCACACATGAGTTTCTGACTTATCCTATGAAATTGGTTGATTATGACAACAGCAGTCTCTGTAGACATTAGGAACACGTAGATGGAAACACTTGAAGACAAACTCATAATATTCCACTGAATGATCGACACCTCATGAATACACACAGTCATATACATAGACAAATATGTACAAACCTTGATTATGAAAAGAAGCAATTGACCACTTATCTGAAGCACAGAACTTACTCATTGAAAAGAAGAGGAACTGCGGATGAACTACGGTCATCATATTTTCTGAATTTGATTTATTGAGATGTTTGTCCGATGTATATTACATCACATTTTGAGCATTTTATTTTATAGACACAATTAAAAGTTAAATCCTCGATTGTTTGGTCATTCAAATGGACAAGGTTGCTTTGAAGTTAGGAATGATTTTTTGAAGAAAACTCTAATGTCAACCTGATTGAGTACTATTCTGATATCGTCTGACGTCTCTGCTCCATATGGAATGACAACTGTTGAGGTTCATGATTTCGGAATCCGTTTTCGGCCATACATAATGTTTGTGTTGATGTTGTTGATGAAGTTCATCAGGTAGCTGTTTTGCTTGAGACTCTCCATAATGTTTGGTTTTTCTTCTTCTTTTTCTTTTTCATCCGTTATCAGAGATTGTGCTCGTCTAAGAAGACTTGAAACAACTGAAATCTCTGCGCTGATGGGTTGCGATGATCCAAAGTCTAAATATTTATTGGAGTGAGCTTTCTTCCTGAATACATACGCTAAAATGTCTGTTTTCCCTTCCCTTCACTAAGCAGTCTAGAAATGGTAGTGCACCGATGTCTGATTCTGACTCCTTCCGAAGTAAACTGGATTCTGGGAGATGGATTATTGAGTTTCTCCAAGAATGAAATGTGTAGATTTCGTTTCAGCAATATAAAAGTATCGTCTACATATCTTAACCACATTTTAAGGGTGAGTATGCTTGAAAAGATATTTTTTTTGAATCCATTCATGAAAACTCTAGCGACTATTGGGAAGACTGCTGAACCCATAGCAACACCATTTGTCCGTCTATATAAACTCCCTTTGGAAGTAAAATAATTACTTTCTAGGCAGAATTTCAAGCTCTGAATTATTCCACTGGTGTCCAGTGGACATCTTTGTGATAGCATTGTACCTGATTCTAGTCGACTGGAAATGATATCAAGACTTTCAGTAAAAGGGATACTAGTATATAATGAGTTAATATCATAGCTTGCCATAATGTCTTCTTCATCAATTTCTCGGTGTTCTATTTGCGATTTGAAAACACATGAATTTCTTAGAATATTTTGAGTGTTCTTTTGTAGTGCTTGTAGTAACAAGAGTAAGTATTCAGACAGGTTGTATGTCGGTGAGTCGATGAAATCTATCACTGGTCTCAATGGAACTTTGAGTTTATGTACCTTTGGTTGACCGTAGAATCTTGAAGGTACATAAGATTTTGGTTTTAGTTTAGACCAGCGAGAATTTCTTGAAGGAGTCATTTTGCATTTAGTTTCATTTTGTTGAATTCAGCTGATTTCTTCTTCTTTTCAATGAGTAAGTATGGTGCTTCAAATAAGTGGTCAATCGCTTCTTTTCATAATCAAGGTATGTACATATTTGTCTATGTATATGACTGTGTGTATTCATGAGGTGTCGATCATTCAGTGGAATATTATGAGTTTGTCTTCAAGTGTTTCCATCTACGTGTTCCTAATGTCTACAGAGACTGCTGTTGTCATAATCAACCAATTTCATAGGATAAGTCAGAAACTCATGTGTGCATTCTCGAATTACACAGCCCAATATAACTTATGTAAATCAGCCTAACTTTAGCATCATTTTTATCTTGGAAAGTGATAAATAAATTTAAATGTGGTGCGCCAATGGGACAGAACTGCTTTAAAATATGTCAAATCCTACTTGAAACAATAATAACCACATCAAATTGTACTTACCTGCTTCGCTTGGCTCGCTCAATATCGTGAACGCTTGAATA